CTTTAAATTTTGTAGTAAAAATTTTTCCTGCTTTAAATTTAACTTTGAAAATATTAATTTCATAAGTGCATCACAGAGTGTCTTCAACCGAATGAGGTAATTTTCAGTTGCAAATTCATATCGCATTTCAATTTCCTGCCATTGCTTAGCTGTTATAACGGCAATTGGTTTTCATTAATTAATACTCTCTTCACATAGCACCTGATTCTTCGCCTTTTTCACACCTGTTTTCAACGTTGATTTTAAAATTCCGCCATATTATGTACAACATTCCTTTCTCGTGATGACTTGATGCTGCCTATAAGTATGACCAAAAAAAACCATCGAATTCATCCAATCTTTTCACTCCCATTCAGCACCCCCAACCAAAAAAAAAAAAAAAAGAAGAGGGAAAGAAAGGAAATCAAGCATGAAGTGTCTCAAGTTCTTCGCCATCGTTATGCTCATTCTTTCCTTTGCTGCTGGTAAACTATCTCTTGTTAATCTTTTCTTTTCTGAAACCTAAATAATTTGAACATTCTCCTTGGTGTAAATGTAATACCCCAAAATTTTGTGCTATTTTAGCATTTAAGTAAGGATTAAATTGTGAGAAAATATTGTTTTGGGTCTAATAGCCAACATTCCTAAACTTGAGGGACTTAAAAGAGGAGAATTTGGATAAGGATGGCTTATTTCTTTTCTCCCTTTTCCTCTTTCTTCTCCAGCCCGTTTCTGCTCTTCTTGTTTCTCGCTGCACCCGAAAGAAAAAAAAAAAAAGAGGAACCCAGCCATGCCTTGGAAAATTGGTGAGAAAGCTTGGTTTTTGGCCTTTTTTTCTTGTCCAAGAACCTGATTTGGAACCCAGAAATGTTCCCCCCTTGCTGGAAAAACCGGATCTGCTGCTGCTCTACTCCTCACCGCCGGCTGTTCCTTGCTTGTGAGTGCGAATTGTCTTGATTTTCTGGTAAGAAACAGCCATTAATCCATCCTTTTAGCTTGATTTAGCTTGGGTTAACTTTGGTTCTCCAATTTTGGGTTAAACCGTGAGTCCCCTGCAGAATTTTCTGCAATTGCCGCCGGCTCCCTCACCAGCCATGCCCGGTTTTTGCAGCTGGAAAATCTGGTATGTTGACAGCTATAAGCTTGAAATTTTATCAGTTATTTGCTGCCCTGTGTGTGTCCGAAAATCTGCAGAAAAATGGGGGAATTCCGGTAGCTTTAGGACCATGATTTAGCTTAATTGAAGTGGGATTTATGTGATTGAGTGTTAATTGCTTGTGATTTTTGGAGAGAAAATCCTGTGGAATTAGCTAGTGTTTTGGCCAATTTGTGAAAGTCGGGGTTACTGTTCACGTCAGGGTCACTGTTCACCGGCACTGTTCACACCCCGAGGGCCAACAATTAACGGGGATTTAAATGATTAGTTTGTGATATAAGAATGAATTTGGAGATATTTGATCATGTGGAAATTGATAAGAATAGTATCGTGATTAGGGATTAGTCATGATGATTTCAGTTTGAACTTGTGATAGTCTGGTATTGATTCTCGGATGTTTTGATTAGGTTCCCGATCGTTCTGTCAGTTAGCATTGAGATTGAGTGCTCGGTTTTATGCGAGTGAGGTAAGTAAATTTATGGTAATGCCCGTACTGTTTTTAAAAGCATATTTTGATTTGTTTTTTTGAAGTGGTGGCGGGACTAAACCCGTTATATACAAGCATGACTGATTTGAAGCGAAATTTTTATGTTTTCATTAAATTGAGCATGCCTACTTGGAATTTAAGTGACTATCCTGATGATCTGAAAGTGAT